CGTGCTTCACGGTTGGGATGGTGTTCTTCGGCCTGCAAGCACCCCCGTTTTCCTCCAAACATAACGATGGTCATTATGGCCAAACAGTTCTAGATTTGTTTCATCAGACCAGAGGACATTTCTCCAAAAAGTACGATCTTTGTCCCCATGTGCAGTTGCAAACCGTAGTCTTGTCTTTTTTATGGCGGTTTTGGAGCAGTGGCTTCTTCCTTGCTGAGCGGCCTTTCAGGTTATGTCGATATAGGACTCTTTTTACTGTGGATATAGATACTTTTGTACCTGTTTCCTCCAGCATCTTCACAAGGTCCTTTGCTGTTGTTCTGGGATTGATTTGCACTTTTTGCACCAAAGTACGTTCATCTCTAGGAGACAGAACAAGTCTCCTTCCCGATCGGTATGACGGCTGAGTGGTCCCATGGTGTTTATACTTGCATACTATTGTTTGTACAGATGAACGTGGTACCTTCAAGCGTTTGGAAATTGCACCCAAGGATGAACCAGACTTGTGGAGGTCTACCATTTTTTTTCTAAGGTCTTGGCTGATTTCTTTTGGTTTTCCAATGATGTCAACCAAAGAGGCACTGAGTTTGAAGGTAGGCCTTGAAATACATCCACAGGTACACCTCCAATTGACTCAAATGATGTCAATTAGCCTATCAGAAGCTTCTAAAGCCATGACATCATTTTCTGGAATTTTCCAAGCTGTTTAAAGGCACAGTCAACTTAGTGGATGTAAACTTCTGACCCACTGGAATTGTGATACAGTGAATTATAAGGGAAATAATCTGTCTGTAAACAATTGTTGGAAAAATTGTAAGTGTGACACACGTGACATCTGAGAAAAAACGGAGTTGTCCCTGTTCAAATTTTATGAGGTCTATGCATATTCATGAGGCAAGCATCTCACTCTCCATTGAATACAGGGGGTTGACGTCAACATCCCTCATCGAATATTCAAAAGAGTATTCAAATAACGAGATGTACACAGCCCACCGTTCCGCTCTTTGGATAACGAATCCCATTGTTAGGGCGGAGAGGGTGGTGCGATCAGCTCAACGCATCATCGGGGGCACACTGCCTGCCCTCCAGGACATCTACAGCATCCAGTGTCACAGGCCTTTATGGCAGAGTGGTCAGATGGAAGCCATTCCTCAGTAAAAGGCACATGACAGCCCGCTTGGAGTTTTCCAAAAGGCACCTAAAGACTCTCAGACCACGAGAAACAAGATTCTCTGGTCTGATGAAACCAAGATTGAACTCTTTGGCCGGAATGCCATACGTCACGTCTGGAGGAAATCTGGCACCATCCCTACGGTGAAGCATGGTGGTGGCAGTATCAGGCTGTGGGGATGTTTTTCAGCGGCAGGGACTGGGAGACTAGTCAAGATCGAGGGAAAGATAAATGGAGCAAAGTACAGAGAGATCCTTGATGAAAACCTGCTCCAGAGCGCTCAGGACCTCAGACTGGGGCGAAGGTTCAGATTCCAACAGGACAACGACCCTAAGCACACAGCCAAGACAATGCAGGAGTGGCTTCGGGACAAGTCTCTGAATGTCCTTGAGTGGACCAGCCAAAGCCCGGACTTGAATCCGATCGAACATCTCTGTAGAGACCTGAAAATAGCTGTGCAGCGACGCTCCCCATTTGACCTGACAGAGCTTGAGAGGATCTGCAGAGAAGAATGGGAGAAACTCCCCAAATACAGGTGTGCCAAGCTTGTAGCGACAAGAAGACTTGAGGCTGTAATCGCTGCCAAAGGTGCTTCAACAAAGTACTGAGTAAAGGGTCTGAATACTTATGTAAATGTGATATTTCCGTTTTTAAATTTGCTAAAATGTCTGAAAACCTGTTTTTGCTTCGTCATTGTGGGGTATTGTGTGTAGATTGATGAGGGGAAAAATCGATTTAATCAATTTTAGAACAAGGCTGTAACGTAACAAAATGTGGAAAACGTCAAGGGGTCTGAATACTTTCCGAATGCACTGTACATGTAGGTAGGGGTAAAAGTGACTAGGCAATCAGGATAGAAAATAAACAGAGTATCAGCAGCATATGTGAAGAGTGTGAAAGAGTGTGTATGTGTGTCTATGTGTGACGTTAATATGCATGTGTTTGTTTTTAGTTTGTGTGTGTGTGTGTATGTGTGTGTGTGTGTGTGTGTGTGTGTGTGTGTGTGTGTGTGTGTGTGTGTGTGTGTGTGTGTGTGTGTGTGGACATGTTTAACTATACTTGTGGGGACCAGAAGTCCCCACAAGAATAGTAAACCAAATTTTTTTAAACAATTGGGGACATTTTGTTGGTCCCCACAAGGTCAAATGCTATTTCTAGGGGGTTTAGGGTTAAGGTTAGAATTAGTGTTAGGGTTAGTTTTAGGGTTAGGGTTTGGGTTAAGGTTATGTTATTGGGTTAGTGTTAGGGTAAGGGTACAGGTTAGGGTTAGGTTTAGGGCAGGGTTGCCCAACCCTGTTCTTGGAGAGCTACCCTCCTGTAGGTTTTCGTTCTAACCCCAGGTGTTACTAACCTGATTCATCTTATCAACCTGCTAATTATTAGAATCAGGTGTGCTAGATTAGTGTTGGAGCAAAAACCTACAGGACGGTAGCTTTCCAGGAACAGGGTTGGGCAGTACTGGTTTAGGGGTTAGTGAAAGAGGATTTTGAATGGGACTGAATTGTACAGTACCAGTCAAAAGTTTGGACACACCTACTCATTCAAGGCTTTTTCTTTATTTTTGCTATTTTCTACATTGTAGAATAATAGTGTAGACATCAAAACTATGAAATAACACATATGGAATCATGTAGTAACCACAAAAGTGTTAATCAAATCTAAATATATTTTATATTTGAGATTCTTCAAATAGCCACCCTTTGCCTTGATGACAGCTTTGCACGCTCTTGGCATTCTCTCAACCAGCTTCATGAGGTAGTCACCTGGAATGCATTTCAATTAACAGGTGTGCCTTCTTAAAAGTTAATTTGTGGAATTTATTTCCTTCTTAATGCGTTTGAGCCAATCAGTTGTGTTGTGACAAGGTAGGGGGGGTATACAGAAGATAGCCCTACTTGGTAAAAGACCAAGTCCATATTATGGCAAGAACAGCTCAAATAAGCAAAGAGAAACGACAGTCCATCATTACTTTAAGACATGAAGGTCAGTCAATACGGAACATTTCAAGAACTTTGAAAGTTTCTTCAAATTAAGTCGCAAAAACCATCAAGCGCTATGATGAAACTGGCTCTCATGAGGACCACCACAGGAATGGAAGACCCAGAATTTCATTAGAGTTACCAGCCTCCGAAATTGCAGCCCAAATAAATGATTTACAGAGTTCAAGTCACAGACACATCTCAACATCAACAGTTCAGAGGAGACTGTGTGAATCAGGCCTTCATGGTCAAATTGCTGCAAAGAAACCACTACTAAAGGACACCAATAAGAAGAAGAGACTTGCTTGGGCCAAGAAACATGAGCAATGGACATTAGACCGGTGGAAATGTGTCCTTTGGTCTGGAGTCCAAACTGGAGATTTTTGGTTCAAACCGCCGCATCTTTGTGAGACGCAGTGTGGGTGAACGGATGATCTCTGCATGTGTAGTTCCCACCGTAAAGCATGGAGGAGGAGGTGTTATGGTGTGGGGGTGCTTTGCTGGTGACACTGTCTGTGATTTACTTAGAATTCAAGGCACACTTAACCAGCATGGCTACCACATCATTCTGCAGCGATACGCCATCCCATCTGGTTTGGGCTTAGTGTGACTAGGACGTTCAACAGGACAATGACCCAACACACCTCCAGGCTGTGTAAGGGCTATTTGACCAAGAAGGAGAGTTATGGAGTGCTGCATCAGATGACCTGGCCTCCACAATCCCCGACCTCAACCAAATTGAGATGGTTTGGGATGAGTCGGATGGCAGAGTGAAGGAAAAGCAGTGCTCAGCATATGTGGGAACTCCTTCAAGACTGCTGGAAAAGCATTCCAGGTGAAGCTGGTTGAGAGAATGCCAAGAGTGTGCAAAGCTGTCATCAAGGCAAAGGGAGGCTATTTGAAGAATCTCAAATACAAAATATAGTTTGATTTGTTTAACACTTTTTTGGTTACTACATGATTCCATATGTGTTATTTCATAGTTTTGATGTTTTCACTATTATTCTACAATGTAGAAAATTGTAAAAATAAAGAAAAACCCTTGAATGAGTAGGTGTGTCCAAACTTTTGACTGGTACTGTATGTCCCCACAAGGTTAGCTGCGCAAGACTGTGTGTGTGTGTGTTGGAGTGTCAGTGTAGTATGTGTGATTGTGTGGGTAGAGTCCAGTGAGTTTGCATAGAGCCAGTGCAAGAAAGTCAGTGCCAAAAAAAAAACCATAATTGTAATATTGAGAGTAAAGAAGTCAGGAAAAAAATCCAAACCAGGAAAAGTTAAACAGAGAAAACAGAATTCAGGAAAATACAAAATATAATTTTATGGGGCCCCCTTAGAGTTGTTTATTAACCATTATTTTACCAGGTATATTGACAGAAAACACATATTTTGTACACCTAGAGAAGTTGTTGTTTTTTTTTGGGGGGGGGGGGGGGGGGGGGGGGGGGGAGTAGATTGTAACTTCCATCAATGTAATTGTCTGCATCACTTCCAATCCCCCATGTTTTTTTTTTATATATACAGTGCTATGAAAAAGTATTTGCCCCCTTTCTAATTTTCTCTACTTTTGCTAGAAAATGTTATAGACCCCTGGTCTATACACACCATTATATTTGTATTCCGGACTCTGACATTGCTCGTTCTGATATTTCTTTATTTCTTTATTTTTACTTTTTGGATTATGTGCGTATTGTTTTGTATTGATAGGTCTTATTATTGCACTGTTGAAGTTAGAAACAAGCATTTCGCTGCATATGGGATAACATCCGTAAATCAATGTACGCGACCAATAAACTTTGATTTGATTTGAGACCCAAGCATCTCGTCATTATATCCAAATCTCTGGTATAGCCTCTCATTACCGCTATCATATGAAATCTCGCGATAGGATCCCACTCAGATCAATACGTAATGTGCCGTGCTGCTTCTGGCGGCGCTGGTGATAGTGCTGAAAGCTGTTGGGGTGAGTTTTGTTTAATTTACTAATTGAAAATTACCGTTGGAACCCCATTAACATGATTATATTCAAGTTATATATATCTATACAAAATAATTTGAAACTTAGTTCTTGTCCTTCAAAGCTTAGGCGGGGTAGTGTTATCCGTTGTTTTTACTCGTCCTACCGACACGTTACAGTACTGTAGCTAGCTATCTGGGGAGCTATTTTAGTAAACGTTTCGACGTAATTAATAAGAAGCTGTTTAAACATGATCAATGGTTGAATTGTTTAATGGCTACCGGTATCGTCGCGTTATGTTTGGTGTTAAACAAATTGAAGTGACAAACGAGCTGACTTATCTGGACTTGCACGAGTTTAGCAAACGTTTGCTAGGTAGCCACAAGCTAGCGAATTTATCTGTCGCAGTTCCTTTGTTGTCCCGTGCCACACTAACTACTGCGCCTGCCACTCTTAATGTTAACCCTTGAAGTAAATGGGTTGTTGATATTGGCACAATATATATTGTTCGTATTCACAAATCCATGAATTAGGAAGAAACTATTTAATGTATGATTACCTAGCCAAGTGTTCACAATAAGTAACGTAGTTAGCTAGCGAAGTAAAGCTAACGGTAACGCGTTGTTGGCTAACTAGCTAACATCAGCTAGTTATCGTTTAACAAATATCGAACGTTAACTAGCCATTTGATTTGACAACTTGTTAACCCCTCCATTTGTTTTGTAGCTAGCTATTTAGTGTGCTTGTTAGCAAACCACGGCATGGTTAACCTTAGTCAGCTAGCTTGCAATGCAAACGAATGATGCGTTGGCTAGTAGGCCACGTTACTGCAATGCAAAGCGTGGCTGCTTGATAGCAAATCACATGGCTGTGCATAGTTATAGCTAACAGTAACCTATTTGCATGGTAATTAATTCATTGCTTGGTGTCAAACCTGTTTCAACCAACAGGGACATTTAGGTAACGTAATAACTAGTAATAATGAACGACCTAGCTAGGTTGCCATTATCCATTTACTTTACAGTTCTAGCCAGCTATCTAGCTGAGACGAGGCAGTATACGTATTAGGCTGGACAATAGAACGAGTCAAAATTCACCCAAGGCTGGAAAAACTGCAATAGAACGTTGGCTAAACTGGAACACTAGCGCGAGCCCATAGCAAACGAATTGAAACGAACGTTCGCAGAGTCTATTTTGACTGGGATTATGCTTAGAATTCCATTTCGCATAAATGGCACCAAAAAATGTATACCTTTTCATGTTACCACAACAATCTGTTCTTAGGACGAAACTGAAAAATATCAACTCGTGTAGAAAGTAAACGTCCACACCTCGATGGTGTCAACTGTGCTTATGCCTGCATAACGAGGAAGTAGGGGGGGAAATGTCCACTTCTGACTATTTCTGGTCTAGCGATCGATGACAACTGAGTACGCTGCCCAGCCTTACATAATTAGAAAGAGGAGATTGTCGTGATTAAAATGGTGTCCTACTTGAAAAAATCAAAATATACACATTGCGAGGTATTTGGCGAAATATACCAGGATGCCTCTCCATAGGAAAACAATGGGGGGAGCTCAGCGTTCCAAGGGAAAAAAGTATTTCGGGGCTAGCGTTTGACGACAACTGAGTACGGTGCCCATCATTATATAATTAGAAAGAGGAGATTCTCATGATTAAAATGGTGCCCGACTTGAAAAAGTCATAATGGTCACATTGCGAGATATTTGGCGAAATAGACAGACATACCTATATTTCCCCTATAGGAAACAATGGGACGACCGCAGAGTTCCATGAGTAATTTTTTGTTCACGTTTTAACTATCAGCAATTTGTTCAACCTTGGCAGGTCTCATTGCCAACAATAGCGAAGCAGGCATTGTGACGTAGAACAATGGGCTGGGATTAAAACATTTGGAAGGCGAGTTGGTGCTCAATAGAACTAATAGGAGCTGGCAGGTTGAATATGCCTTAAAATAAGGCCTGTTTTTTCGTGATTACTTCAAAACTATGGCAAGCAGCTGGGACATATGGTAATATTATGGAGCTGGGCTCCACGGCTAATGCAATGAACTAGTTTTTATCTGAAAAAAGCGTTGTTAAAAATGTACTGTGTCCAATTCACTGACATGAATTCAGACTGGTGAAACATCAAAACAATATGTAACGTTAGCAAGTAAGATGACAAACAAGTTAGGGGCTTCTGAACTCAACAATGTTCGACCACCAGTTTTGGTAATCTGTGCGAAAAGGCCAATCATGGCCAGTGATTTTAGTGGGTGGGCACGGGTAGACAAATGTTGTTTTTATGGCTGCGTCATGAGCAGCTGAAAAGCACACGCTCCCAAGTTCCTGTTTTGTTTTAACCATGTTGATATTCTTCATTGGTTTAAGCAAGGGTTGTTGTCTGAGTGAATGTTTCCCCCAATCCTTTCAACCAACGTGACCCTATTACCAAGGGTGATGAGATTGCAGACCATTCTTCTGTTTGACAGTACAAGTGTTGTCTCAACTCACCTTGCTAAGTGGTAGTAGAGTTGTGCCAATCCGTTGACAGCCTAACCACACAATGACATGCTGTAACCAAACTCACTAATGAGTGTTATCAAGATGCATGTTAATGTAGATGTGAATTGAAATCTTGGCTGGCAGGGCGTTACAATTTTTATTTATGTAGATAAGTGATCCATTATGATTGCATAATTTCTCTGAAACTTTGTTTTCAAAGAGATTAAACTGAGCGCTGCTGTCCATAAGCAGCTGTAGCCTGGATGCCAAGTATGAGCTTTAAAGACTCATCCACTCCTTGGAATTATATTTCACCCCTTTCACAACATTTAGTTTTTAGCCATGTGGTTTGGCGCTCATTGTGACACAGCCATGTTGGATTAGGTTTCATGTGGCCCTGTTCAGCCAATTTGTTTTCATACTGCTGCATTGAGGTCAATAATGCCAGCAATGCCCAGCTAAGGGGGTTGTCCCAAAAGCCAAACTTGGTGGATGTGTCCCTGCTTCTTGTTACTGTGCAAAGTCCTATACAGTTAAATGTTAGGATCAGTGTCTGAGCCTTTTGTCATGATCCACATAGCTCATGATTACACAGACCTCACTGGTTAGAAACGGCCATAAATATCAGAACAGCCAAAGGTATGCACAGGGACTTGTTTATCCACAGGACTTCTAGTATAGTATCTAGTCAGCTGGCACTGTGTGCAGGGGCAGCTGAGGAAGGTCTATATTTAGGCCTGGGAGTCTGGGGGCAACGAATCTGGAGTTCAATTCACATGTAAAGGAAGTGACCCAGGGCACTAGTCTACAGGTGGCTGTAACTGTTTTTCGTGGTACTCTTGAATCTGGAAAGTTGATTTAGAATGTTGTAATGGTAGCCCCTTAGTACTTTGTTGCAGTGTTTCCAACTCATGAGGTCCTAATTTATTGTCAACCTATGGGCTAATGGTACCACCACCACCATAAATGGTGACATATGTCTTTGATGGCACATTTATCAGGTGTCACCCAATTTGCTAGTTGCTTATTGAAATCGGTAGGCTATATGTACATTGAATATAGGCCTCCTGTAGCTCAGTTGGTAGAGCATGGTGCTTGCAATGCCAGGGTTGTGGGTTCGATTCCCACGGGGGGCCAGTATGAAAAATGTATGCACTCACTAACTGTAAGTCGCTCTGGATAAGAGCGTCTGCTAAATGACTAAAATGTAAATGTAATGATTGCAAAATCTGATTTATTTTAAACTAATAGTGAATCTCATTTTTTACTCAACAGTATGAAGTGAAACGGAACTGAATTTTTTGTACCATCCGCAACTGCTTCTTCAAGTTCAGATCACAACGAAGAAACAAATTCAAGAGAAACATCCCGAAACGAACAGTCGCAACAACTCAAGGAAAGGATCACTTCAAAGGAAAATCTAGAAGCAACCAAACGAAGAAAACACCAAAGACAAAAGATACACGGCTGCCCAATCGAAACGCACTCAAGAGAAGCAATCCTTTGCCAACATTGCAAAACCGAGAAGATAATAACTGATCTGAGACCAGAAGTTTGTGCCTACTCAACAGCTTTGACAAAGCACACGTCCCAACGCTACTCCCAGCCATCCTCACCTCACCACCGACTCACCCTGGGGTGCCTAGAGGGCTGCTATTTGCTAGTTTTTTTTTTTATTCTGTTCCTTTAACTATCTCCATCTCCTTCGTCTGTATCTCTTCTTGCTCTGTTTGTTGTTTTCAAGCACTGTTATTGCACCTGCGTTTGCCTTTTAAAAATAGTTTCCCCCCTTTTGCTTTATGCAACTCGTATCTAGAACTTGTGCCAGAAACCTGTAACAAATAAGTGTGTGTGCGAATGTGTGTGTGAAGATCTGCAAAGGCGTTAGCGTTCAAGGCTACCACAAGTTTCAAGACACCAAATCAAGGTAGGTCCATTAAAATATTTTTTAAAAACGTATTTCATAAATGTGTTGTCGTTTTGAATAACTGTTGTCTTTGTTTTTTTACGATACTTGTTTCAATGTGTCTAGAAAGGCATCCTTTATATGGGCCAGACATCTTGGCCATCTCCAAAGAAATTTGCACAAATGTCAAATGTATTTACACTGCATGAGGCTTTTACTTATCTACTCATCAAGGACTGATTTGATAGGACTCGATTAATAAATGCATTTGCAAAGTACTGTAATGGTGTATCACAGGGCATTTGATCTAGAAATTGACGCTCATGTTAATGTTACATTTGATGGTAAACCAATGAAGGGGAAAATGCAGGTTCCCAAGTACCAGTCTGGTTCCCTGCTGTGCTGACATGGCAGGATTGTAGATAATGTATTTGTTATGATAATGAACACAAATAATGCACTAAATGTCCCAATCTTGCCTGACTTAACAATATTCTGCTCTTGTAAATGTGCACATCCGCTACCATTTTAACTAGGATGGGGAATATTGCCCCTTACCTAAATGGTGGTGTTTGATATCATAGAAAAACTAGCTTTTCTTTGTGACATCAACATGCACAGCAGCTCCCCTAATTTGCTTGAGGGACTGACCTTTGCTTCTACTTGATAGGGATGAATCATTCTGCAACTTGTTTGGATCAATTGGTAACAAGCTAAATTAATTGCACCAACTCTAGCAGAGAGATTTAGCACAGTTTTAAAGTGTTTTAGTGAGCCTATCTTTCTGCCATAGGCCTACTTCATTATGGAAGTTGTTTAGCTGTCTTGCCTCTGTATCCTGCCCCTCTACCTGGTCATATCTAGCCTTCTGTTCCCTTGTCTCCTCACGCCCACAGACCCTTTCCCATGATTGTGACACTTTGTTCACTGGCTGACCTTTTTGCCTTCCCCTTTATTTATTTTTTTGTCCCTTTCCCATTTTCACCCTTGCAGACGTCCAGAGGTGTATCATTGGGTGGTTGAGGGGGGAAAAAGGAAAAAAATAACGGGGCAGTGAAGTCGGGGCAGTCAAGCAAACCAGTAATCAAGTACAACAAAGGGGTGGAGTTTGGTTTGAGTTTATGGAAAAATATGGGAAGCCCCTGGAAAGGCTTTGTTGAGTTTACCTTGCCCACGTCCCCACCTGCCGCATTTATTAGCGCTGACCTGAGCAGCACCTCCCCCGTCGGACTCAGCCTGTCACCATACGGCCGATCCGTAAGTTCCATCTCCCCCACCACCTCCCTCCGTCTCCCCCATCGAACACCCATTCACCCACCTTGCCCTGCCTCTCTCTGCTCTGACTGGCCTTACCTTTCCATTCCACGGGGCTCAGAGACTAGCCTCTGCTCAGGTGCAGTCAAGCAGGTACAGGGCGGTCTAAAGGTTACTGGGGATTTGGGTTTGTTTCAAATCTGGTTTTACCCTCCACAATTTATTTAAATAAGGCTGTAAATGCGTTTTGCCATGCCCCACACCCCTGAGATTAATGGTGTGGGATATGATTAGTGCTGCAATTTGTCTCTTATGTAGCCAATATAAACAAACAGATTTAGAATTAGTACATGTAGCCTAGTACATGTTTAGGAAAACAATGTGAGTGTAATCTAAGACTAAGTGAGAGAGGGTGACTTTTTAGCAGACTACAAAGCAGTATGCAGAGGCTAAGAAGATATTACTATTGATTTTCTGGTTTATTACAAAAGCTAAACTTGTGTTTTTGGTTGAGTCAATTATACCATGCCCATTTCAAGCTTGTCTAAAAACAAAATATGTTTTTAAATGTCACTACTTTGTCAAGTTAGCTGGCTAACTTTGTAGTTCACCCCTCAGGTGGCGTTGATGCTCAAAATAATGTGCCCAGTAGGAACCTGACTGTTCTTGACAAAACTATTTAAACGATGTCAGTTTGAGTCTTAAAAAAAAAAAGAATATTTTTTTTGTCCGTTTGACAGTCTTTCCCAAATAATTAGACTGAAATAAAGCTAATTTAACTAAGGTAGGTCCGTTTTTTGCTAGTTTGTAAGACAAGTTGATTTCGTACTGAATGGCACCAGCCATCGGAAACTGTCGCTTAGTCTGAAATCTTAGGTATCGAACCAGCAAATAAAAAATATAGATTTATATTCAAGATTATTCACCCCATCGAGGACAGACCACCCAATCCACTAACTACTAGGAATTTCAACTGTTAACATTGATGCTAGTAAGGGACCTAACAGATAAGGCTGCTCTGGGACCCTTCATGTACACACTATCATCTTACTGTGTTGACATGCTTCTGTCTAACCTGTCTTTCACATCAGCACTTTCTGATTCTGTCAACTCTTATTTTAACATTATTTCAGGCAATAACGATAACAGCTTTTCATGAGTCATGATCACTTAAGTTACATGACCACCTTTCTCAACGCTTTGTTCCATTCCTTCAAATGTTGAATGGCAAATGTTTATTTTAGTTTTACTGATCAGGCTGATTATTGTAGGGTGTCGCAGAGACTACCTCACAGGGACATTCACTAGAGATGCTAGGTCTCTGCTAATAATTTATGAGTTTCTCTTAAGGAATTATGATTCCCAGGGTCAGCATCGATCTGTGTTTATACTTGCCCCTCACTTTTACAATTTAAAGTGTAAGAAAATAACTTCAGAGACCTAGAACGCTGCGGTGTAATGGAATGAAAGCTCATGAGTAAAACCACAGCTCCAAGTATCTGAATGTCCAAATTACCTTTTGACCCCCCCCCCCCACAACAGTGTGTCCCAGTCCTGACCCCACTGTCGGATATGGAGAAGGTGCACTCTGAACCCCCTTTGGCACGTAATACTGCCCCTTCCACCTCTGCGGTGGCTATCCCCCGCTCCTTCTCTGTCTCCCACAAAAAACACAAGCGGACCCCCCTGTATCAGAGATCAGTAAGTGGGCATGTTGTGTGGGCATCACATCAGTTGCACCCACAGTGGTAATGACTGCCAGGGGGATGTTAGTTAACCGCATGGTGTGTTTTGCAGTGGCTTTTGATTACTTAGAGTGAGATGATCAATAAATTGATTTCTGGTTCTGTGTGAAGTCATATTGTAGCACCCAGTTCATGTGTTTATTGTTTATTTATTTTAAGACGTTTATTTATTTTAAGACTCTCTTATCCAGAGCGACTTACAGTTAGTGAATACATATTTTCTTTATACTGGCCCCCCGTGGGAATTGAACCCACAACCCTGGTGTTGCAAACGCCATGCTCTATCAACTGAGCTACATCCCTGCCGGCCATTCCCTCCCCTACCCTGGACGACACTGGGCCAATTGTGCGCCGCCCATGAGTCTCCCGGTCGCGGCCGGCTGTGACAGAGCCTGGATTCGAACCAGGATCTCTAGTGGCACAGTTAGCACCTTAGACCACTGCGCCACTCAGGAGTACATGTTGACTTAATGTGCTAGTCAATGTGAGATGGCAATGGTTTCCTAGTAGGTTTGGATAAAGATTAAGTTCTATAACCAACTCTCTTTGCATGTATAATGTTCCCAACTTTGTCAATTCAGGGGTGCTTGTTGTGATAGTGACTGAGTGAATAGAAATGCATGATTCTCTTGAGCCAACTAGAAATGTCTATACAGTATGGCCTTTATGGTAGTGAATGGTCTGAATCAACATGAAAACCCATCTGGGGTTGGCCAATTGTGCTCACCGGCATTCACAAGAGGAAAATGGTCAGATAACACCAGAAAGCTCTTTTGGTTAGTCTCTCCAAACTTTGGTGCACCCACCAGTCAGGAAACACATTTTAGGTAGCGGATTTTCTTTGTAGATGTGTGTAAATGCATGTTTGGGTGAATTAGATCCTATTGGTGTGTATGTGGGAGTTTCATTTGTCAAAGAGAGTCATGCATTTACACAATCCCACTCATAAACTCACATCTGCTCTCATTCAATGTTAAGAGCTGTGTTTTGACTGACCGTTTGATATTTTTTTCAATAAGTAACATTGTCCGTTTTCTTGTTCTGCTCAGATGAGTTTTGACCCTGGCATGCTCCACAACAACGGGCACACTGCGTTTGCCAACGGCACGGCGGCGGGCATCAGGGAGACAGGAGTGGTGGAGAAGCTGCTCACCTCCTACGGGTTCATCCAGTGCTCGGAGCGGCAGGCGCGCCTCTTCTTTCACTGCTCCCAGTACAACGGCAACCTGCAGGAGCTCAAGATAGGAGGTGAGAGTCCAGGGCTGCTTCTAGGCATTTAGTAGTCTAGTCTCATCCACCAGCCTAATACTGAACAACACAACCTTTTTAGGGGTGGTTTCCCAGACACAAATTAAGCCTAATCCTGGACTAAAAAGCATTTTCAAATGACATTCTCCTTGAGTCTAGGAATAATCTGTCTGGGGAAACTCCTAGATGTTTATCTGTTCAAAAATGAGAATTTCTTTAAAAAATCCTTGGATCTAAGTGGTAACAATTGATTTCTTCCTTGGTCTCTTCACAAGCTACTGTGTGCAGCCTTTAAGTCGATCAACCTCCATGAATGTCCGGTCAGCATTTGGTGACAACCTGTTTTCTTCATCTCTCTGCCTCTCTAGATGATGTGGAGTTTGAAGTGTCCTCAGACAGGCGCACTGGCAAGCCCATAGCAGTGAAGCTGCTTAAGATCAAACCAGAGGTGCTTCCAGAGGAGCGCATCTCGGGCCAGGTGGGGCCAGACTCGCACGCCTCTCCCTTTACTGTGCTGCATGGTTATATTCATCCAGTTAAGGAACACCATTTTACTTTTGGTTCTGTTTTTGTCCCTGTCACCTCAATGTCGGTGTTTGTTCGTCTGTTGGGTGTATGTTCAAGCTCATTGTAAATCTTTAAACTCATTTTTGGTTATTAATAGTTTCAGAGATTTGTACATTCTTAATATGAAACCTTTCCCACCACTGATTTTAATCTGATTTTAAATCCACATTTGTATGGCTGTTATTTATGTTGGCCTTGGTCTGTTTGTCTGAAACACTAGGAATATATAATCTATTTCCATGGAGATTTACAATGGGCTTGACTGTCCTCGACATACATGTTGTGTGGTGATGGTGTTCAGGGGTAGAGGTGGGATTTGACGTTTAAACAAAATAGCCTAAATCTTTGTCCAGAAAGTTGTTCCTAAATGAAGTTGAAGGCTTATTTTCAAAGGAATGACAAAATATGAAGTCAGTAAATCAAATAGGTTTGATTGGATGTAATATTTTGATAGCCATTGACATATATATTTTTTATTAGCCTTCTCTTCAAATGGCATTTACTCATTCAAATGAAGAAATTTGGCATCTCAAGCGTTTCACATCTCATGCAGTAGTGTCTATAGTACATAACAGACTTCTATCCCTTCACTCTCTTGATATACTTTTGAAAATCAACCAGTTTTTGTTTCCCCAGAATGATTATTGTTATTTATGCAATGTCATTTCCTTATTTAAGTGCACTGATTTATATGAAGGTAATCATGTTTGTGTGTTGAATCACCCAAATGCCATTCTTAACCATCTCCCGCTGTGGTTCTTGCTGTCCTTTAGGTTGTCTCAGCGATTCCCACTCACCTGGATGGCAAGTCTGCTCCAGGGCAGGTGCCCACTGGCAGTGTGTGTTATGAGAGAAACGGGGTAAGACTGTCAAATGGCCTGTAGAAAGAGACTTGTCATGACAAGGCTGGTAGTCAATGTAATGTAAAGTATGGATTCCTTCCCACGCAGGAGGTGTTTTACCTGACCTACACCCCAGACGACATAGAGGGCAACATGCACCTGGACACGGGAGACAAAGTCAGCTTCTACATGGAGACCAACAAGCAGTGAGTTGTTTTTCAAAAGTGTCTTATTGTTTCCCAAACTTGAGTTTCACAATTTAAAATGTTATGATTGCATACTACCATCGCCCTTTCCTCATGCTTATCTTCTGTGTGTTTCAGCACTGGTGCAGTCAGTGCTCACAACATCGTCCTGGTAAAGAAGAAACAGATGAGGTGCCAGGGAGTTGTCTGTGCCACCAAGGTAAAGCCACAGTACACCCTTGTGGATCCCTGGCTGGACATTGGCTACTGAATGTGCCTGATTATGATCTAATCTATAACCCTTTGTTGTCTGGTAGGAGGCCTTTGGATTCATTGAGAGAGCTGACGTGGTGAAGGAGATCTTCTTCCACTACAGCGAGTTCAAGGGCGACTTGGAGGCCCTACAGGCTGGCGACGACGTGGAGTTCACCATCAAAGAGAGAAACGTAGGTGGCATCACATGGAACCGTTCTTCCTAGCCAACTCGAGTGATCCCGTTCTAATGGATTGCAAAAGTATAGAATATGAGGCCAGTATTGGATCATTGGAATCAAGTTATTCTTAAGATGTTAGGGACTTAACTTGTCAAATCAAGCAATGATGGTTTAATGGCAGTGAGACTCTCAATAGGAAAAGCTGTTCAACAGAAATTGCTCATGTATACATTCTGAATACGTATTGATGCTATGAGCCTGTAAATATGCAAAATAATGGAGAGAAAAAAGCAACATTGAAGTAACTAAAGCATTTACGACGATACCGCCTCTGCAGAATTCAGGGCATTCATACTTCTTGCGTTTCGTGGAGCAGAGTTGTTGTGAAGGAAGTTGTCAAGGAAGTGAGTTTGTGTTTATACATGAACTCCCACCCCCACCTACGTCAACCAATCATGTCAATACGGAGCCCTCCGTATTGTAACAACATTTGGGAGGTGCATGGCATTGCCGCAGGGAGCTCGATTTGACCTCCGGAGGCTCCGCAATTGAGCCTCTGGACCACTTTGCCTGATCAAGCATAAATCTGCTATAAAGCATTTTGTTTTCTCTCCTCTAGGGGAAAGAGGTGGCCACTGACGTGAGGCTGCTCGCCCAGGGAACGGTCATATTTGAGGATATCAGCATCGAGCAGTTTGAAGGCACTGTCGCCAAAGTCATCCCTAAAGTTCCAACCAAGAACCAGGTCTGCAACTTACACCATACCTTCATACTCAGGAGTAACCTGAGCTTGGTTTTTACTAAATCATGGATTGTTATTTTCTCATGATAATGACAAATATTTGTATTGTTCCTCCCCATCTTTTAGAATGATCCGCTCCCAGGTCGCATCTGTGCCAGGATCAGCTTCACAGACAAGGAGCTCCTGTTTGGTGAGAAGGACACCAAGTCCAAAGTGACCCTGCTGGAGGGTGACCATGTGCAGTTCAACATCTCAACAGACCGCAGGGACAAGCTGGAGCGGGCCACCAACATCGACATCCTGCCCGACACCTTCCACTTCACCAAGGAGTCCCGTGAGATGGTAAGGACCATGCGATCTATGGTACACTCTAGTTCATTTGAGGAAGCTTTGTGTGGAGTTGAATCAGTGAATGTCAACCTGAAATGTACATTCCTAAGAAGTTGTCTGTATTTCATACTGTTGTGTAGATCATATTAAATGGAAGAGCATAAACCTGCAGCCCCGAATGAAAGGGAAGGATTGGCACAGTTCAACATTTTATCTACAGTGCACTCTCTTTAATCTCGGTTAGAAGTAAAATCTTGTGTAATTTGGTCAGCTGCGTGATTAACTTCTGGGTCTATACATGCGTGTTAGCAAGTGAGATTTCTGGTGGTTAGCGAAGTCGCCACCTCCCCTCCGTGTGGGCACACAAAGCACTCAAAGTGAAGCGGTTTAAACACTGCCATCGCCCAATCCTGATACGTCCATATAACGAGTGACGAAAGCCCGAAGATCGGAACTACTGCAGCTCGTTATGTCCATCCCGTTCAGTCCCAGCAGATTATTCGGTCTACATGCAGAGTCGACGGCATCTCTGCTGTGTTAACGGCTCTCCCTGTCCTCTGTCCTATAGGGTGTGATCGCTGCAATGCGTGACGGCTTTGGCTTCATCAAGTGTGTGGACCGGGACGCCAGGATGTTCTTTCACTTTAGCGAGGTGCTGGAGGAGGGCCAGCTGCACATCTCTGATGAAGTCGAGTTCACCGTTGTGCCCGTGAGTCCAGAGAGAACATCCATGGTCCGTTTTTCAATATACAAATGCTGTCTTTTTAAAAATTCCTTTAATCTCTCCTTCCCACTTTTTCTCTGTCCATCATCCAAGGCTGTTAGTTTAGTAGGGAACTCTTGATTTTGAAATGAACATCCAGTAAATTGTTATAAATATTAGGGAATCTCACTCATTGAACCCATTCATGTTTCCTAGGCACATTGTCTTCCAAATGAATTTTGGTCTCTGGCTACCTCACAATATAATCCAGACAATCTCAATGAGCGCATTATCGAACACCAACACATTGGAACGGGTGTTTTCTCCCTCTCCTGTGCAGGACATGTTGTCTGCCCAGAGGAACCACGCGGTGCGCATCAAGAAGCTGCCCAAGGGCACAGTCTCCTTCCACATCCAGTCTGAGCAGCGCTTTGTGGGCGTGGTGGAGAAGGAGGCCACAGCAGCCATCACCAACAACAAGAGCGCCAGCCCCAGCAAGGCAAAAGAGAAGGTACGAAAGCACCCAGGGCAGCACTTGGGAACCCACAGCGACATTGTCAACATGTACATTTTTAATTTTTTTTAACAGTATATGTTTCTTTCCTTCCCTGCTTGATGTTTCTTTTACTTTTCTTTCCTCTTCCCCTCTTCCTAGTCTGATCAGTATCGAAATTTAAAACCGCTCCGAGACCCACACGCACACATTTCCCCTTACAATCAGGCATTTTTCAGACCATTGATTTTTGACTCCTCTTTAGTTCTAATTCTCTGTTTGCTTTTTCCTTTCACCCTTTCCCCCCTCATGCTCCTTCTCTCCATAGAAAAAAGACAAGGTAGGAGTTTTGTCTTTGCATGATGCCATCAAGTTGATCAACACTAGATAGATAGATCTATCTAAATGTTTTCCTACCGGGTTGACACAAACTGAGGCAAAGTACTAACTACTAATTTTGTCTCAAATTGGCTAGATGATTTGCCAGACATTTTACATGGCAACTGTGACAAGTTCCCCTAGTTACCTTAAAATTCATAATGTATAGTTTTTTTGCCCAATTGCTTAAATCGGTTTCTCTCATTTCCTGACCTTTGCTCTTCACATTGCTGCAGACATACTGTAGTTGCCATGTACGCTCAAATAGGTAGACTAATTGTACATTTCTCTTATTTCTCAAGGGTAAAGTAGTAGAAAAGGTCAGTGGTGTGGTCTATGGCCTGCTGAATGTGCTCCTCACCCCATGGTTGACTGCATGTTTTCAGTCCTAATCAACCTCTAAATCAATTCCTCTGTAAAAACATTTCATTCTCACTTTTGTAGTCTTGTAATTTACTTTACTAGTTCCTAAGGAGATATGACATTAACTAAGGCTTACCCCATTAAGTCAACTCGTCAATTGTTTGGTCTATAGGCTTTTGGTCGACCAAGATTTATTTAGTTGAGCAGTAGCTAAAAATAAAAAGGTAATTAATAGCTTAGGATCATCATCACAAAAAGTGTTAATGATCCTAAGCTATTAATTACCTTATACAAATGTGCTACTACTTTTGGCCATAAACACCAATTCTACAGTGGCACCTCAAACCGACCAATGGGTTTGAATTTTAATACTGAGGGGTTGCAATGCCGATCGATTTGAAGATCCTGCTTGTGTTGCAGGTTTGTTTAATAGTCTACTGATTCCGTGATCACCAAGCCTCATGCAACCACATGTTGGATAAACATGTTCACAAATGTGGCTGTTTTTCATCTTTGCTATGCTTTAATAAAAGGTTAACTTTTTTTGTTAGAACAGCCTCTGGTATTATTTATGGTTTACTCTGTTCCAAATTGTCTGAAAAAATATGAATAATAAGCCTCTTTCGCGATCTCTTATTGTATTATTGTGATTATAATAACTAATGTCATTATCATTAAGAGCTTATGGTGGTTATACAACGCTGTTATCACGCTGTAGGCCTAAGAGCGCATCCTGTTAGGTCTTAATACCGTAACTTACTTATGCCTATATTTCAATTCTTATATTGACTACTGTATCAATCATTCGTTCATGTCATCACACAGCATACAAGTTATTCATGAAATGCAATCAAGCATTTTCGTTTTAAACAAAAATAACAAAGTGACCCTTGAATAATTAGTATTAACAATAAATAAACTGTTCCATTCACAAATGAATGTCACGGTCTTTGCTGTAATAAACACTTTACAACATACTCTGGTACGCGTGTTATTTAGTGTTTATGTTGTTCCCAACGGTCAGGAAAATTATATTGTAATATAACAGCACCTGTTTGGCACGCAGCGCTTGCGCCTTACCTTCTTCTTGCTCTCCGGTATTTTCCACAACTAGTCAAATTTATTCCGCACATCACTTCCCCTTTTACCTCCTGAGCAACCAGTAAACATTCCCCCATTTCGAGTTTGTCAAGTCCTCTGCATCCGTTCTGATGTTATGGGGTTCAGAGTTTATAACCAAATTATTGATGTGATTATGATATGCTTTAGGTCCTATTGGTCACATGCATTCGACACATACGTGTCACAAGTTGAGGGAATAGGGAATGTTTTTCCTAAACATTTACATTTACATCATTTAGCAGACGCTCTTATCCAGAGCGACTTACAGAATTGGCTGTAATTATGTTGCAGCTTCAGCAACAAAGAGAGCGCGATAAACACTGATGTTCTGTGGTCACTGCAGCAGGGAGGAGAAGGGAGGAGAGAGAATGGGTGCTAGTCAGTCACTGGCTGTCTTTAACACAGCACAGCAAGTCTGAGCCCTGCCCTGCACAATCAAATCAATTGCGGTTGTACTCCCTCGAGTCATTTCTTATTTCATCAAACAGTTTGCTTAAAGCATCAGACAAGCTCAGTGCAAATAGTTGATTTGATTAAAACATGGACACATCCTATCAAAATACATGTTTTAAAATTGACTGATCGATTGGTCAAAAGAACGGACAACTCCCGGTCAAGCAAGATTTTTTAAAGTCTGGGACAGCCCTACATTTAACACTGTTTGTACGAAGGTGTTGATTTCAAACGCTAGTCAATGCTAACCGAAATCTAACGGGTGCTTTGGAATGTGTGCTATTGAACATCTTGGTGCCAGTCATCTGCACTCTTAGTTTTAACAAGGAGTTGCTACTGCTGTTCATCTGATATACTCCAAAGCTTTTAAGATGCATCATTCCTCCCTTCCTCCTTTTGAAGTAATTACTGATATGCACCGGCGTGGATGAAATAAAACATTATCCTACACTTTTACTTTCATCTATCCAGCCTCTTCAGATCAGTAATTACTTTATTTTTTAGCCAGGAGCAGTGCATTTTTCTCTCTCAAAGTATTTGAACATGTCCTAATGCTCAGAACCACAGCAGTGGTGTTATCCAGGTGTAACAGTTCAATGCCTGAGTTCTGGAGAGGAGTGCAGCAGCCTACCTCTGACTCTTTGACTGAAACTGCCAGTCTAATCAGTTTTATGGTGTCTGTGTCCTCTCATGTAGGAAGCAGAAGAGGGAGTGATTTCTTATGAGGACTGTGGAGTGAAGCTGACTGTGTCGTACCACGTCAAAGATCTGGAGGGAGCTGCCCAGCCACAGGCAGGAGACAAGGTACTGAAAACCAAACAAGTTCACACTGGCTCAAATGTGCTTTGTTGAAATGGCGACTTACCAAACCCCAAAAGATTAATAATGGAGTTGGCTCTGTTTTCATGTGGTGTAAATTCAACCATGTCCTCTAGGTGGAGTTCTCCATCAATGAGGTAAAGAGGACGGGCCAGCAGAGCGCTGTCACCATCAAGATCCTCAACCGCACCGTCAACACCAAGAGGCTGCTGGGATACATCGCCACCCTGAAAGATAACTTTGGCTTCATAGAGACAGCCAATCACGATCAAGAGATCTTCTTTCACTACAGGTACAACTATTCAACACAGGCAAGCTACAGTGTAAAATATGTTTGTTGGTGTGACATAAGATCTGCCCTGGTTTTTCATGCTTCCTGTTTGTCTGTTCCAGTGAGCTGTGTGGAGACTTGGAGAACCTGGAGCTGGGCGACACTGTGGAATACACCCTGTCCAAGGGCAAAGGAAACAAAGTCAGCGCTGAGAAGGTTACTAAGGTGGCAGCAGGTAGGCAGTAAAATGCTCTAGTTATTGTTTGAGTTTGCACTACAGTCAGTTCTATAGTGAAGAGTTTATGTATCAACCATCCAAGTGAGTATGCTAATGGTGTTTTGTTATTGCAGTGAATGGTGTCGGGCAGGATGTTGGTGAGACAGTGATTTTGGGGAAGGTGGTGCGCCCTCTGCGCAGTGTGGATCCGTCCCAGACAGAGTACCAGGGGCTCATCGAGCTCTCGGAGGAAGGTAAGTCACCACTGGCAGTGGAGGGTTATGTCCATCAATTCAATGTTTTTACTAATGCACATACTCTATAATAAGCAAATGGCTAAATTGACCATTCCTCTTCTCCCACCTGTCCTTCTACCCATTCAGATGGCACGAAGTGCCAGAATTACCCCTTTGGCATCGTGGGCATGGCGAACAAGGCAGACTGTCTGCAGAAAGGAGAGATGGTGAAGTTCCAGCTGTGCACAGTGGCCCAGACAGGACAGAAGATGGCCTGCAACGTTGTCCCCCAACGTAAAGCCCTGGTGGAGTGCGTCAAGGACCAGGTATCTGATCATGCTTGTCAAAATTGGTGGAGATGGACATGATTTTAAATTGCCTTTCAAAATTGAACTTAAATATTCTGCCATTTTTTATTTATTTTCAAGTGTGGTAAGTAACCCAAACATGAAGTAATAAGAATGTATAATTTGTTTTGGGACTTTCTCACTATGCAAGGTATTGGTGTGGCTACCTATGAGCGCTATGCCTATTCAGTCTGTAATGTCTTGTCTCCCCAGTTTGGTTTTATCACATATGAAGTTGGCGAGAGTAAGAAGCTGTTTTTCCATGTCAAAGAGGTGCATGATGGCTTGGAGCTCCAGCCCGGGGATGAGGTGGAGTTCTCAGTCATCCTCAACCAACGCACAGGGAAATGTAGTGCCTGCAACGTGCGCAGAGTCAGGTAAATACTGCAGGGGGGGTGTACTAGTACCCATGTTCGGAAATGGAAGTATTACCTCAACTTAGCCAATAAGGATGCCCGTTTTCTTGATGGCAGGCAGTCAATGGAACTGAATAAGTGAAATTGGACCTCTAGCCTCCTGTAGCTCAGTTGGTAGAGCATGGCGCTTGCAACGCCAGGGTTGTGGGTTTGATTCCCACGGGGGGCCAGTATGAAAAATGTATGCACTAACTGTAAGTCGTTCTGTATAAGAGCATCTGTTTAATGACTAAAATGTAAATGTAGCCCACACACTTGCTAGTCAGGTCTCACTTATGACCCAGTTATTCTAAACCTAGACAGTATATTGTTGGTAAAAAAAATCCCTCTTGTTTCTCTACCCCCACAGTGAAGGGCCTAAACTGGTGGCAACCCCCCGTCCCGATCGCTTGGTCAACCGGCTCAAGAGCATCACCCTGGATGACGCTAGTGCCCCCCGCCTAGTCATTGTGAGACAGCCCCGCGGCCCTGACAACTCAAAGGTACACATATTTGAACACGTAATGCTGTATAATAAGTTCTGATGTTCACTTTTTGTTTTTGGTTAATCTATAAAGCGTGTTGATTTTATAATGACTGGTCTCCTTTGATTTGTACCCAGGGCTTCAATGTGGAGAGGAAGACCAGTCAACCGGGTGTCATTGACTGAGCTGTATATAACCCATCCCGTCTGGAATAGGTGGGCCCTGATTTAAAAATGCAACCAGAGAATGGAGGACAACAATGGAAAGGGATTTTTGCTGTCTTGCAGACACATGCTCCTACACACATACTCTTGATACACACAGGCACACAGAGAAATAAGCATGTGTAACCCCTCTCCCTGTTCCATCACCTGCAAGGGAACCCTCATTCCATTTGTCCTCTGCTGCCCATGTATGATGTACTGCAGGATACAAGGCGGGATCTCTCTTCCGAGTGTGCGCGTGTGATTGTTGTGCACAAGGTGTTTTAGAAATGGTAGAAGTTACAGAGGAATTTGTTTTGAGGGTTTCTCTGCCCCTTAGAATCAGTGACGGTTGCGTGGCAGTGTCTTGTCCCCATCTGCCGAATCTGCCTAATTGTCTGGAATTCTGCACCTGCAACCTGACGTGTGTGTGTGTGTGTGTGTGTGTGTGTGTGTGGGCATGTATTAGAGCTCATCTGCTTATTTTCCTCCATTTTGTTCTCCCTCATTTAAGGAAACTAAATGATTCTCATTTGCCAATGGTTTCCACTATGCTTTCCTACAAAATGCATAAAGCAAAGTTCCCTCCATAAGGAGGATCATGTTTCTCATGTGTGGACTAAAACAGAGGCTACTTCTCTGCTCGGTTTTTTTGAGCAGTTTAAAAAGAAAATCTTTATCCAAGAACTGGAGTGAAAGCATGGTGTTGTATGTGAATGTTTTAAGTGGTATATGATTTGTATTTACTTTCACAGATCTGGGGCCTTTAGATACCTTTTCGTTATTCACGCGCTTTGTAAGCAATTTCCCCAGGTGCAGAATTCCTAATGGCATCTTATATCGAGCAGTTTCAGACAATGTACTTTTTTTTTGCACATCTTTGATTTTTTGTTCCATTGATGTAAGAATACGGTGCCTAAACTACAAAAAAAAAAAAAAAAAGACATCCTCTGTCCCCAGCCCATCCGCCAAAATAGAAAAAACAATCTTAGGATGGCTTTTTTTGTAGAAATAATACTGATCTGCATCCCAAATACCTGTGGGTTGAAATATACTGTATGTAATGTGTGCTTTTTTTTTTTCTTAGTGAAAGATTCAAACATCACAATATAACAAAAATACATTTAACTTCAGTAAAAGGGGGGGGGGGGGGGGGGAAGGAAGGGGAAGTGTAACAAAGCATTAGAATTAAGTTACGTCTTAAGGATCAGGATATCTATTGTGCTCTGGCGGTGTTGGTGTGGTCTGTTGTGCCTGTACGCACATACGGCAGTTGGAGACTAAATTAATTTAAACTCTGGAGATCACTGGGTTGATCCTGAACTGCACAGGCGCTCCTATGAACTTTTGTTAATGGTCTTGAATGAAGCAATTGAATTAAAGTTTTATGAAAATCATATTGCGTTTCTTTATTTGAAAGAAAATCCAGGCATTTATTTGTTCCTTTAAATTCCATAGAGTTTGTATAAACCATTTTATTCAATGGCAGCAAGAGACTAAAACATAAATGCTGTCCCTACTTTCAAACCAAAATGTGCCTGAACAGTGGAGCAAACTGAAGATGGAAAATATATTCCGCATCTCTTGGTAGGACAATAGAAGTTTGCTTAAAAAATGAATTTTATTGTTGCCACACTGAACCTTCATATAGAAATGTAAAACTGGGAACAAATCCCTGCACAGTTTGAATTATCACGCACATTATGAGAAGGCTATATTGTCTTTGCTTGTTTTAAACTGGAACGTTTCAGTTCTTGCTCTACCTCGTTCAAACTCTGGTGCTACCCAGATGTATCGTTATCTCGGCGCGATGCACAACCTTTGGTTTTGTTTCTGTATTTGGACTCGGGGCTTCAGACCAGTGTGTCCACAAGTCTCTAAGCTGATTTGGCCTTGAGGGCCGCAAGTCCTTGATCTGGTTTGGGGGAACTAGAGCATGCGGAAGATCTGAGTTCTCTCTGGGAGCAAACTTCCTGTCTGTATTTACCACGCTGACTGTAAGCGCTCTTGACTGATTCAAGGCCTCATTTGGCGTTGTCCACCCTGCAGCAGCAGGAGATGTGGCATCTTGGCTTGCAACATTCACTTTCTCCATTTGAACAGTTCTTCTGTCTCTTGAGGAATCAAGTCCTTGCATTTTAATTTTGTATTCTTCCAACTTGGCCTTACACGCCACAGCTTTTTCCTTAATCTCCAGGAACTGTTCCTCCAAGTCTTTTTGATATCCCTCTTCCGCCTTCAGCTCATTATCCCAAAATTCCAGCTGCTCTGCCTCCTCTATTACCTTCTGCTGGGCCTCTTGGTCAGTTTGCCTGGCCTTTTGTTGCTCCTCCAGCTCATGAATCTGACTATTCGTTGAGTTTATTTGAACCTGCAGCTCTTTCAGATTAGTCTGTTGGCGAGCAACTAGTCCTCTTAACCTCCTTTTCTCATCAACCATCTTAAGGGCACTGGTTGGATTCTGACAGCCCTCAGCATTTATCTTTGCCGTGCCAGCTTCTGGGTGTTTCTTAACATGTTGGTTATCTTTACCCTCATCAGAAATGTTACTCTTCTCTCTGTCCCTGCCCTGGTCTCCCATGCAGCAGGAGATTCGCTGGTGCTCAGTGGACTTGGCACTCTTTTCTCCTCTGACTTTGCTCTGCAAAACCCCAGGAGTGGAGGGATCCTTGGAAACAGTGACCGAAACATTCAGGGAATTACCATCCCTTTTGTCAGTGTCCTTGCTGTTTCCCTTTTCGTGGCTTGATTGGTTCGCTCCGCCTCTTCCTAGACTCTCCAGCCATCCCCAAGCCTCCTCCATCAGGGTCAGGGACTTTCTTTTGGGCTTCTTCGGTTCTTCCGGTGGCTGTTTGGCTTGTTGCCGCAGGCGTGATAAGGGAGGTAGGCTTTGACGGTGTAAACTAAGACCACCATTACACCTTCGTACTTTGCCCCCAGCATCTGCTCTCCTCAGCTGAGGCCCAACTTGGTATCTGCTGCCTTTCCCTCTACTAGGCTCTTCGCAGAAGGATGGCCCGTTATGCAGCAGGGTGAGCTGGACCTCTCTGGCCTGCTGGCCGTACCTCTCAAGTGACTCCAGAAGCCGTTCATTGGGTGCCACATTCCGCTCAAACTCTTTGAATTTCTCTTTAAGTGTGTAGCGCCCAGGACGACCTAAGCAAAGGGAAATGATTGGGATGAATTTATCACCTGAAAAGATTGATTTGGATTGGACATTTCTAGTGAATTATACAGTAAAATTAAAACACTGCCAGACTTGTACTCACAAATGGATTGGGCCAAAGCTATGACCACTTCCTGGCATGTGGTTTTCTCAGTAACTCCACAGACAACTTGTGGGACTCCTTCCACTGATACCTTAACCTCCATTCTGTATTCAGAAAAGTTAAAGGATGAGAGCAAAATTCAGCATTACTGTAGGTTCTGAGGTCTCTGGGTATTACTGTACACACACTGGAAGTGGTGGAGGCAGACAAATTACCCTCATGACCATTCTCTTATCAGTTTGTGCCCACCGTCTTGGCCAGGCTTGAGGGCAGTAAAAATTACATATTTGTAAGCTGAATGCAATCATCAAATTGCAATTTACAGTATTTTCAAATGAAGCCTAATGATAATCAAGGAGGTAAAAAAAAAAAAGCAACTTGTATATTGATGGTAAAACTTTAGTAAAAAAAAAATAATTGTATCAAACAACTGCATTAATGCACAAAGCATCCAGTTAATGGCATAATCAGATTTGTGAAAACGGATACATTTTAGCTTCAAATCTACAGTATGTAGTTCCAAGTTTGGGAATTGCTCAAGATAATTGTAATAATCAGTTCTGTCAGAAAAGCACATGCATATACTGTTAAATTGTCCACCTACCTCTTAAGCCTTAAAGTTGATCTGATGCTGGGAGCCGTCCACTGTGCTGAAGGCACAATGCTCTGTAAGGGATGGAAAGGAGCACAGTGGAGTGATTACGGCCAATTTGAAGTCCCTTGGGTTTCTTCTACTGCAGCAAAGTTGAACCCACCCCTCTTGCAAATAAAAAGATTGAGGGCTGATCTATGTGAAAGATGTACAGATTAGATTTAAGGACAGTTTATCAGTATGTTTGCTATAATAACGTATAAATTAACATTTTGTTACAATACTTCTGAATACAGTCGATTCAAATACTGTTTTGTATGCATTGTGTGCTATATCCAGTTTGTGATGTTCAATGCCGCCATTCGATTTTAAAATTAAAATTGCCATTGTTCTGTCAAGACTAGTCTGGCGTTGCCATACCTCCAAAATCACGTTGTGGTTCGCGACTAGGCTACGTAAAGACTAATGCATTTACATTAATCTTACTCGGGTATAAATACAAATTCAAGTGGACATAATGCTTAGCTACTTATTTTATCCGATGACCCCAAATACTGTAAACATTGGTTCACTTGCGTCAGTAAACTGTCAGAGGTATTTTTGGCTCTGGGTGTATTTGTGTATCTTTCTGACAGGAAGGGTGATCTCTATCAGAATGGAATATATAAACATGCTGGTAAACTGTACAACTCCAGTAGGCATACACAAGATCTGGAACATTCCACAACTATTTCCTTTGATTTACCAAATACTTTCGGGTTTTTAGTCTCCGTCCTTGTCAAACAATACAGTAATCCCTCATTAGCTACTGACCCTTGTTCATCAAACTTGACCACAATATACTTGTAAACCTACTTCCACAGGACCCCTGACAAGTTGTCTGAACTAGTGCCCTGCTGAGATGTTCTAGGGAATGGATACTCTAAAATAATGTTACTGCCAATAACACCTTCAACTGAAGAGGATGCTCATACTGTACAAATGAAACATGAACTCAAAATATGGAGTTTGAAACAAACCTAAGCCCACAAGGGGGAGCAAAGGTTTTGTAATTTTCCACTCACAATCTTGAGTCTAATTAGTCAACAGATGAGACGTTTTTACGCCCAATTTAAAAATGGGTAGTTGTAGTTTATCATGTATCTAGTCTAGTGCACATTCTAGCCTAATTCACTCCTGTCCCAAAACTATTGGGACTGAGGTTGTGTATTGTGACAGACACCCTTGAAGAAATAAAGATATTGAATATAGTGTTGTGGAATTAAAGTATTTTTGTCCCAATGTTTTTTGCCACTTTATTTTAAGTAGGCTACATGTGTTTTTGTTTAGGGATGGGAGTGAATTAGGCTAGAATGTGCACCAGACTAGATACAGTGCCTTCAGAAAGTATTCACTCCCCTAGACTTTTTCCATATTTTGTTGTGTTACAAAGTGGGATTAAATTGGATTTAATGTACGTTTTTTGTCAATGATCTACACAATACTCTGTCAAATTTGACATTTGTAAAAAAGCAAAAACACAACAAAAAACATACCTTGATTTAGATAAGTATTCAACCCCCTGAGTCAATACATGTTAGAATCCCCATTGGCAGCGATTACAGCTGTGAGTCCTGGGTAAGTCTCTAAGAGCTTTCTACACCTGGATGTGCAACATTATTATTTTCAAAATTCTTCAAGCTCTGTCAAATTGTTGATCATTGCTAGACAACAATTTTCAGGTCTTGCCATGGATTTTCAAGCAGATTTAAGTCAGAACTGTAACTCGGCCACTCAGGAACATTCACTGTCTTATTGGTAAGCAATTCCAGTGTAGATTTGGCCTTGTGTTTTAGGTTGTCCTGCTCAAAGGTGAATTAATCTCCCAGTGTCAAGTGGAAAACAGACTGAACCAGGTTTTCCTCTAGGATTTTGCCTGTGCTTAGCTCCATTCAGTTGTTGTTTTTTTATCCTGAAAAACTCCCCAGTCCTTAACAATTACAAGCATGCCCATAACATGATGCAGCCACTACTATGCTTGAAGATATAGAGAGTAGTACTCAGTAATGTGTTGTATTGGATTTGCCCCAAACATAACACTTTTGTTGTATTCCCCCCAAAAAAACAATTTGCTTTGCCACATTTTTTGCAGTATTACTTTAGTGCCTTCTTGCAAATAAGATGCATGTTTTGGAATATTTATATTCTGTACAGGCTTCCTCCTTTTCACTCTGTCAATTAGGTTAGTATTGTTGAGTAACTACAATGTTGTTGATCCATCTTCAGTTTAATCCTATCACAGCCATTAAACTCTAACTGTTTTAAAGTCACCATTTGCCTCATGGTGAGTTTCCACGTTGACATTATGGGGTACAGTGTCAAAAATCTCAATTTAATAAAATTTTTATTCAGGCTGTAACACAAAATTTGGAACAATGTTATGGGGTGTGAATACTCTCTGAAGTCACTGTACAGGATGGAAACTGCTGGAGTAAAAGGAAGTGAAACACCTGTTGTCAAACTTTCCTTCAGTCTGACAGTCCCTCCTCCCTAGATATGTTAATGGTAAGGGGAAATGTGAGATTTGAAACTTAGACACCAAGTGACCCACTAGAGAAAAGGCTAGTGTGGCTCTTTGGTGCTATAGCTTTAAAATTGTATGGGAAATGTGAAATATAGATTTTTTTCAGGTACTCCTCTCCTATGGTAAGAATGTATAATTTTGGACAACATATTTCCAGGAAACCTTTGTTCATAAGGAGTCGATGAGGCTGTGCTCTCTTGTATAAAGTCTTATTTTTGCAATGTCATGCCATATTCCTTTGATAATGATCCTTCCTACATCTAGAAATTGATTTATTGTGTATGTCATCCGTGATCTATGATAATGACACAATAACATGTAGAGTGCAGTTTTATATCACTTTGGCAATAATGCGGAAAGAGCTCATGTATCGTTATTGGTAGTCTTCTGTAATATGACCAGTTGTGGTCAGAGGGCCAGGAATTAGTCCTTCAAATGATCTGGTATTCATTTTCAGAGTTTAGGGAAACTGCTGTGCCATTGCCCCCCACTGGCCACCTCCCTCCTCTCTACCCAATGCCCCCCACTGGCCACCTCCCTCCTCTCTACCCAATGCCCCCCACTGGCCTCCTCTCTACCCAATGCCCCCCACTGGCCACCTCCCTCCTCTCTACCCAATGCCCCCCACTGGCCACCTCCCTCCTCTCTACCCAATGCCCCCCACTGGCCACCTCCCTCCTCTCTACCCAATGCCCCCCACTGGCCACCTCCCTCCTCTCTACCCAATGCCCCCCACTGGCCACCTCCCTCCTCTCTATCCATCTCTCTTACTTGATTTCCTTAATTGGCTGCACACTGAAATGAGCTTTGACATTTGGGATTGCATTCCCTAAATAGATTGGTTGTGTCTTCATGGCTGGTCTGAGCAAGCACGGGGGGACATTGGAGAATTGGGTATGAGGTTGGGGCATGGGCTTAGGTGTACAGTGTGTTCTTAGCTTCAAGTTTTATCCCAGTACCGTCTCAAAAGTGTACCAAAAGAAAGGTCATAGAAAAACTTCCATGAGCTTCCCCTCTTTGCCAAACTGGGAGTTATGTTGTATCTTGGCTGTTCAAGATTAATCAAAAGACATTTCAGAATGTTTTATTTATTATCAATACGTCCTTTATATATTCTTAAAGGATCTCAGTCAGATTGGCTTACTTTACTTTGGTTTATTTTCCTGAGCAAGCAGAAGTCCTATTAGCAAAATTGAGTTTGGCACCCTTTAGAGCATGAAAGTGGGAGAAAGGAGAAAATCTTATATTTGAGATTACAGTACCTATTTCTCAGTGAACATTTTCTTACATGTTTTAACCTTAGCCCTGTCAGGGAGTGGAGGACTTCAATTTTTCAGTGCAAGAAAAGCAGGAACATTGCATGATGGAAATGGATCCACACACACTTATAAGATCATGTGATCTCAAGTGGTTACTCTTTCATGGTTGTGACTAGATGGAGTAAGTAATTTGTCAGTGTTGTTGGAGACTCCACAGCCAAAATCCTTTTTTCTGGACCATGCAGATTTTCAGGCTTGGTTTGTCTGGTGTTCGTTCGTTTTTATACATTCTTACATTTCCAACCAGCAACCTGGCTATTCTTGGCTAATAAAAAGCTGCCCTTCCCTGTACACATGCTCAAAGGCCTTTGGAGCCTGATCTTTTGAGGGAGAAGTAGATTCCTTTGACAACGCAGGTTCTCTACTGTTGTTTCAGAAGCAGCTGGATATTTGATGCTCCTTTTGTGTTCAGCTGAACTATTTCACAGCTAACAATGACACCACAAATGAGTCTACTGTAGTAGCTTTTGCTGAATACATTTTGCAATGATTTGTGAACACTGCTAGATATTTAAGCAATAATGCCAGAGGGGGTGTGATATATGGCCAATATACCACGGCTAGGGCTGTTCTTAGAGACTAAGCAACACGGAGTGCCTGGACACAGCCCTTAGCTGTGGTATACTGGC